CAGCTGCTTGATTTAATTTGCTCCTTCGAAGCAGCCCCACTTTCAATTAATGACCTTCTTTGGACAGAGCGATTCAGTGAAAGTTTTATCAAACCAATTCTTAAGGGCTTTCTAACTAGGCTACAAAATATCCTGGGAGCATCTTCTTTGTTGTGTCCTCCTGGATATTGTCTTCATCTTGTCCCCAGGAGTGAAATAGTCTTAAGTCATCCTCAGGTGAAAGGGTGTTCAAGAAATGCTGCCTCCATGACACCAATAGCACCAATGACAGTTGCAAATGTGTAACTTTTTCTTTGCCATCCATTACCCTGTGTGAAAATCTCAGTGACCAGTAGTGGGTAAGATCAGAGAGGGGTAAATTGTCCATTTTAAGTTGATGTGGACCCAACTTGTCCAGTCTTTTCAGCTTTGTCTACTGCTGTTTGGCTGTGATTCCACTCAAGAACTTGGAATAAGAATAAAAATGCTGCTTCTGCAAAGAACTAAAGAAACCATGGACCACCTAGTTAGCTGTGGCAAGAAGACTGCACAGACTGAATACAAACCACAGCATGGCAAAGTAGCAACAATGGTGCATTGGAAAAAAATGCAAGAAACGCCATTTGCCTGCAAGAAAGAACTGGCGGGAGCCGAAAATAGGCAAAGGCATAGAAAATGAAGAAGAAATGCAGGGACGTGAATTAGAATCAATGTGAACATCAATTGACCATGTAGATCAGTGTTTCTCAACCTTGACCATTTTAAGGCATGTGGACTTCAACTCCCAGAATTCCACAGCCAGCATTGCTGGCTGTGGAATTCTGGGAGTTGAAGTCCACATGCCTTAAAATGGTCAAGGTTGAGAAACACTGATGTAGATGCTGGCAAATCCGCCGCCTCCGGAGGCTCTTCCCAAGGCGGCGCTCAGCCGGGACTTTCCGCAGCCCGGGAGCACCGAGCCACGGCGCCCGCCCTCTGGGCCGCTGCGGAGGGAGGCCCCGGGAAAGGGCTTTCCCTGCAGGTCTTCACTAGCCACGAGGCGGGAGCAGCAGCTGGGCCCCTGCGAGGAAGCCAAAGCAGCCCGAGGAAGGCTGCTCAGGAGCGGCGGCGGCGGCGGCGAACGGATGCCCTTCCTTGCGCTCGTCTGACACCAGTTTCTGTTTCTCGGCAGTGAGGAAGGGTGACGCGCTGAAGCGAGGCCGGGAGCGACAGGCCTCCTTGACAGGCACGATTTTCTTCGAGAGGCGGCGGGGTCCTCCCCCGCCCCCGCGGCCGATCCAGGCGGGCCCGCCCGCCCTTTCTGCCCTCAGACTGGCGTTTTGTCTGCCATAAGATGCTCCTTTAAGCAGCTTTGCCTTTTGCCATTTAAGCTTGTGTTCCATGGGCAGACCGTGTGTGTAGAAAGCCGTGACCCGAGCTGCGCTCGCGTGTGCGTGCATAATAGCGTCCACGAGAAAGGTTTTATCTAAATCACAAAGCTGCTGAAATGTGCGCACAGGGCGGGGGGGGGGCTTAGCAAGTTGGTATCAGAGCGTCCATTGTGGCGGCCTGGAGGAGCATCGAAGTGTCAGCCCAGGCTCTCCGCAGTGGGGCTCGGCCCTCGGCTCCCTCCGTCACCGTGGCAACCTGTGGAAGAAAGTGATTGCCGTCTTTCAACTCCCTGTCAGAAGCTGAGCCGGCAAGGGGGGCTTGCAGTCACACAGATCCAAAAGGCGAGAGAAAATGGCATTTACTGAGGGCCGCCACAGCCATCCCTCCAGAGAGCAAACTCATCCAGACTGTAAGCACAGCAAAAAATGCCTTTGGAGAATCCAGGCACCGGCTCATCTCTCTCAGCTCAGTTCTCCGTTGCTGGAGACCAACTTGCTGGACTGCAGTTCTCATCCTCCCCCACGCTTGCCGACTTTCTCTGGAGAAGCCGGACCTTTTGCAAGGGCTGTGTGCTTGCAAGATTGCTCACCAAGGGCTGGTCAGAACAGGAAGGCCCCATTTTGCAATGGCTGCCCAGGAGCCGTTGTTTTGCTCAGGCCACTCTGCTTTCCTTTCCTACACTGGCTTCAGCTCAGCTGTGCAGCCCAAATGCTGCCCATGCAGTCAGCTGTTGGGTCTCTGAATAGAATAGAATAGAATAGAATAGAATAGAATAGAATAGAACCGGAAGGGATCTTCGAGGTCTTCTAGTCCAACACCCTGCTTGAGCAGGAAACCCTATACCATTCCAGACAAATGGTTGACAAGTCTCTTCTTAAAAACGTCCAGTGTTGGAGCATTCACGACTTCTGAAGGCAAGTTTCTCTTTCTCTTTCTTTCTTTTTCTTTCTTTCTTTCTTTCTTTCTTTCTTTCTTTCTTTCTTTCTTTCTTTCTTTCTTTCTTTCTTTCTTTCTTTCTTTCTTTCTTTCTTTCTTTTAGTCTAACAAAGCACCTGACAATCCCCCCTCCCTCCTTTAAACGTGTCAACCGAAAATGAATAAGGAAGATGGCTGCAGCCATGCTCATTTTTAAAGTGGACAGTTTCCTTGTGCTTCGCTGATATGTAGTGACAGTCTGCCATGAACTCTGGAGAAGGTGGATGAAGGGGGGCATGCTTGCAAAACTGAAAGTAGGTGCTGTGCTTTCCCGAGAAGCTGCTTCAAGGTTGCCCAGCCAGAAGGATGGAGTGGCATTACCAGTGCATGCTTGAACTGACAGTTAGGAAAACAGCTTGCAAGATTTTAATTGATTACCTTGAGTGGGAAATGAAAGACAGTTAAGGAAGAGAAAGTATAAAGTAGGGATTTTGGCTATGCATTACTGCAATAAACTTGATCTAATAAAAATATACCTTTCTCAGCAAATGGAGTCAAGGATTGTTTTCTACTTAGAGGTTTAAGTTCTGACAACTTTATTCGGAATTCCCCTCAGTTTGTCCTCAGAAGTAGGTTGTGAGGTTAGGCTATGTGATCTGCCAGGAGAGTATAGAGTAAGGATTGAATCTTGACTTTCCTGGTCCAAAACACAGCCATTCGGGTCATAAAGTAGTGAACAAATGTCATGCAATGTGAGGAGAATATTAATATTCTCAGGATGAATAGGGCCTTGCTTCCTTTTTATACATGGGCTTGCTTCCTGAGTTTTTGACTTAGACTAGAGGTTGCTTGATCTTCATCCTTCATTTGGGCCTCAAAGCATACAGAAAGGGTGTCATTGATAGTTCCATTTCTAAAAGGTATTAACATATGTATATGTAGCATGTTTCCCTCCATTGTTTTTATATTTGCTTCAAAATTACCAAAGTTTCCTTTTCTACACATCTCACAGGTTTAATTACTAAGCGGAAAAGAGTTAGCCTAATCATATTTGGATCAGGAAATCCCTCATCCATAGACTCTCACTGGGCCAGCACTATTTTACATGTAGGTGAGGAGGAAAGTACCAGAAATACCAGAACAAGCGGGACAGGTACTTCCTTGAACCATGGACAAAAAGCAGAATGCAAGTCTAGTGAATGAACTTCTCCTTCAGTACCAACAACATTCACAGGTTTCCTTGTGGTCCTTTGCATCAACTCTAGTTCTACTCAAGAAAGTTCCCCTGACTAGAAAGCACTTTCCAAGTTGGCACTCTAACCTCTCTGCGTTTCAGCCCTGTCCATGTAGTTTCCTTGGTACGAGTGTTTTGCCATTGTCTTCCTCTACATCTCATGTCCTTGTCTTGGGAGGGCTAGCTTCTGTCATGCCTGCAGTCTTATCTGCACATGGATTTCTTTTCCCTCCAACTGTACAGACAGAGATGACCCTACGAGGATCCCGACACTACTCCCAGAGTCACTGGAGCTACTAAGCTACCACCACCTTCTAGTCTTATAGTCCTATCACAAATCTTATTATAGCTCCCTAAAAAGGCACAACAAAAAATGTTCTTCTTGCATCAACTCCAGGATAGATACAGATTTCAATGGATAGATAGGACTGCAGAAAAAATAATTGCAACCAGCCTGCCTTCCACTGAGGACCGGTATACTGCATGAACCAGAAAGAGGGATGAGAAAATATCCATAGACATCCTGGACATAAATACATGCCAAAACTACTAGATACAAAGATAGTTTTTTCCTCCGTGCCATCACTCTGCTGAATACTTAATTCCCACAGCACTCTCTCATTTCTCATCTTTTCTCATCCTCTCATCTTTTCTATCTTCTATTGGTTTTTTATGATTTATAAATTGTGGTTTATTGTGATCTATGACCTATTACTTGCTGTTTATGTGTACACTGGGAGCTTCTGCACAGGCGACAAATTATTTGTGTGTCCAATCACATTTGACCAATAAAGAATTCCATCCTGTACCAATAGCACTTAGACTTATATACCGCTTCACAGTGCTTGACAGCCCTCTCTAAGAAGTTTACAAAGTCAGCCTATTGCTCCCCCAACAATCTGGGTCCTCATTTTACCCACCTCGGAAGAATGGAAGGCTGAAAATCAAGCTGCCTAACTGCTGGCAACCAGCAGTCAGCAGAAGTAGCCTGCAGTACTGCATTCTAATCACTGCGCCACCAGGACCTATTCTATTCTATTCTATTCTATTCTATTCTATTCTATTCTATTCTATTCTATTCTATTCATATTCTGTTCTTATCATTATTCTATTCTATTCTATTCTATTCTATTCTATTCTATTTATATTCTGTTCTTATCATTATTCTATTCTATTCAATTCTATTCTATTTATATTCTGTTCTTATCATTATTCTATTCTATTCTATTCTATTTCTATTTCTATTCTATTCAAGTTGGCTTTTCGTCCATTCAAAAAGGGAGTGATATGTCTATATTAATTCCAAACAGGAAAGACATACAGGTCAGCTCCTATAAGAGAACTCCAAAGTAAGTGGACTGCAACTGTTTCTAACGTGTGCTGTGTGACACTAACCCCCAACTCTTGCAATGAGCAAGTGTCTAATGTTGGATGCAGTCATGTTATATTTTGCAAGCTGACTTTACTATTCTACAAATAAAGTTCACACAAATTCAAAAACTACAGTCAAGAGTAATCAGGTGGATTTTTTAATCTATGGAAAATTCATAAACATTATTACAACTAATCTATTTCTTTTACCAGACAAAGTACATCAGGTGGAAATTATTTTAAGTGCGTTGAAATTTACAAAACAGAGATAGCTGAATTGCTGGACATTTTTAGCTTATGACAAAAGCAAGTTTGAAGAGAGATGTACCAATTTTGGATGCAATCACCACACAATCATTTGGGAGCTTGGGACCCCACCCTTCCTGCAGAGAGCAATGGCAAACGTTCGCTTCCAGAACTTCCTTTCCTGTCTCAGCTTCTACTCTCGGGAATCGATCACATCTTGAATGTGCCTCCCCTAGTCATTTCCCACAGCAGAAATCAATGGTATCAGCATAATCCCTTAATGGATTACTGGGAAACACAGATCAACCTGTGATGTTAGCCCGATGCCTGGCCTTCCTGGAGGTCACTGCAACCCCACACTACTCAGCGAGCAAAAAGCTTTGATTGGTGGCTCCAAAATTGAACTGACAAGGCTGCCAGGGCCATGCTGGCATTTTCTATCACTCATTCAATCTTCAGTTATTCTATCCAGCTCATACTGGTGATTAAGAATTTCACAGGATGAACAATCTTCTCTATTTGATCAGCAACTTTGGGGAGTTCAGGTGAACGTTGGATGGCACTGGTAACAAAAACATAGGAATAAAGCATATACATATACTTTCTTTACCCCTCAAAGCATGTTAAATATCAGTATGGCATTACCTGCTGACTTCTGTGGAAATAATTATTTGTCTGCTGGTAAAGTGGGGGCGGTGCAAGTATCAACCTTATTTCTAAAGAGAAATGAGTGGGCCCAAAATCTGGCAATCTAGGGCCACTCCCAAAAATTCATTTATTTCTTGTATCTGCAAAGCATATTTAGAATGTGCTAGCTGGAGGCTTTTGACCTTGGTCCTCGGAGACACTTACAAGGCGAGCCGAAACCTCCGATGCAAAAGTATCCATGTAAGTGCTTTATTCAAGTTCCTAGGAAAGAACCAACCATGCGTCTGTGGAATGGGGAATCCTGGGGACGGGGTTGTCCAAAGATTCTGCACAGATCCAAAGTGGAGTTTGGAGAAAGAGATCCCAGCTGAGATGCCGGAAGGTCCTAAGCTGTCTCGCCTGAGGCAGAGAGACCTGCACATAAGCACAGGCAGGCACACAACTACAGCCACAGCATCTCTTTCTTCCTTTGGCTGCAGGTCGAATAAAAACAGATCTAAATGCAGGGTCTCATCACATTCTACTGCAAGTGGGAAGGGCACTTTGGGAAGAAAACAGATGGAAGAATGGAACGTGGTCTAACAAAAGGTAGAACTATCTGGAATGTCTTGAAGCTGCTTTGGACATTAGGGAAATTACCCTCACAGAGGTGTGCAATTGATCTCTGCTTCAATTTCCAGCACCATTCCCCTTGGGATGGAGTATCTGGCTTCAAAAATCTTTCCCTTTTGAAGATGTGAAACAGGAGCCAACATCCTCCTCCCACCATCCACTCTCTGGGACATCTGCCAGTTGTGTAAGCAGAACCAGTAAGAGGTGTGGAGGTCTTACTGGGAATGATTTCAGCCTTTCATGAGTTAACAGCTAACCCCACCCCCACCCTCCACACTTGCACTGAAACAAAATCTCAGTCTTTGAAAAGAAAAAATAACAAAATGTGACACATTTGAAGCCACCCAGTCAGAAAACTTCTGAGGCAGAGAAGCTGCTTGCAGCCCAGTTCCTAGACCCAGGTAGCAATTCTTTGAGAAGGATCCCATAAGAGGCCCGTCGTGATGGATGTATCTCACCACCCAATGTGCCCCCTGGCTGTTCCAGGTCAACCGCTAGCAAAGGAGAAAGCAGCACTTTCTGGAGATGGGTAAGAGGAGCTCGGAGTGATAGAGAAGGAGGAGCAAAAGGCCCAATTGTTGCTCTGTCTTTTTGAACACTTACAGCAGCAGGTGGAACTATTGTCCCCCCAAGAATGTCTTTGCTTCTCTTGTAGAAATGCAAGATGTTCACAATGGCATGCTCAAAGACGAGGTTAGAGATAGCTGATTTATAGAGCACACATCATGGGTTGCAAATCCATTTGGGGTGGTCCAGACTCAGCCATGCAGAAGTCTGGGAAGAAAAGAAACACAGGCAGTGAAACTAAGTGGAGGATGTCAAAACACAATGCTTGGCTTGCTGGAGCTGCCGCCAAGAGAAAAATCTCACAGAAGGTTTCTGCAACCTGCTCAGAACACCTCCAGCACTCGGGTTCTTAAGAAATCAGAAAATAAATGGCAGGATTACCTGGAGCCTTTCATCCCTCCTCATTTGGGAATCTGCCCTGGGGACAGGAAGAACTGCAAAAGAAATGAAGCAGTAAGAAAAACCATGAGGGAGAAAGCAGGACTGCATCTACATCTCTACTACTGGCCAGGCTGAACTGGAGTTCACTAGAGGGCTGGTGCAGTGTTCTGGCTTAGGTGCTGGATTAGGGGTGGGGAGGCCCAGTTCTCATTCCCCCTCAGTCATGGAGACTCTGTCTCTGTCAGCTCAACCCGCCCGCAGGGACTGGCAATACAGCACCCTAATATATTTAATGCTGAAAAACAATGCCTGAGATTTCAGGATTTTTGCAAAAGCCGGAACACTGCGAGAGAATGAAAGTTACAAGCTTGTAAGATTCAGCAACCCCATTTGACTATCAAACAAAATAATTATTTTATAACTCATGATGAAAATAGTGCTGATCCTGAGCCTGTGATGCCAACTTCAGTTGAAAATCAGCTTCCCTACCTGGGAGATTAAGGATTGGGGTGACAGGGAATGGAGGTTATGGCCCCTCAACAGGACAGCTGCCAAGCACAGGAAATCAAAAGCCAGAGCAGTTCAGATGAAAACAGGTCTGTTGCATGCTAACAGGCTTTACAAGAATCTAACAGTCAAGGCAAATTGGCAGTAGATAAAGATCAAGGGAAGTCAAGTTGGGCTGGACTTAGATCTTTTATGGGTGCGGAGGGACTTGAGGCTGATGACACATTTGACCCCCTCCCTCCTCAGCCTGGTCATCTCCTATACCAGTCAGCCCCGAAAAATTCTGATACTGCAAGCCAAACATCCCCTGAGGCCCTCAGGGGCCAGTGGTACATTTTACGGGGCAGAATTTGGCAGGCCTCTTTTTTGTAATAGTAATTTTATTCCCAAGGTACCTAATAGCTGAAAGCAATTAATAAGCAATTTCCAAAAATGATTAGGAAAGGAAGTAAGTGAACCCAGTGTCCTTTCAAAGGTGCTGACTGTGATTTGAGCAAGATGCCCTCAACTCCCAGAGCTCTAAACCCACCGGAGACCCCCATCTTGCAGGCTCCTTGCTAGGAGCAATTGTCTGGAGAATTGTGAAGTCCTCTCCTTGACCAGAGAGGAATTATGAAGAGCCAATCTACTTGCCGGCTTTTCATTCTACTGTAGTCATCGGCTGCACTCTCAGCTGTGCCATTTTCAATTCACCATCTCTTCCCCAAAAATCTCACAAAAAATCTGCCAGTCTTTTCAAATCTCAGGCATCTGAAAAACACCTCTCTATGCAGAGGGAATACATTTGGGATAAATGTCCCAAACATTCATGGGCAAAATCAGAAGATGGCATGATTCACCAGCTTTTCAGGATGCCGAACATATGTGTAACGGCAACCCTTTCCTGCTCTTACCTTCCTCTCCTGAAGGAGGCTGTCTCGAAGAACTTTGCCCTGGACGCCACTCTGAAAAGCAACCAGCACAAACAGCCCCTTAGTTTTGTGGTAGCAATACGGCTGTTCAATCAAACAAGGTCCAAGATCAAGGAAGCAAATCTCCATTAACAGTACCGAATCTGGATAGATAGGCAATATATGAGAGAACACACATGTGGTCCAGGTTTCACTGTGGGCACAATTATTAGGCAAGTTGTATTTTGGAGGATTAATTTTCTTATTGAACAACTCGTGCTCTCAGTCAATCCCAAATGTTAATAAACCTCAAACCTGACTATTTAAGAAAGTAAAAGGGAGGCTTTGGCTTTCTTAGGAGAATAGCTATGTGTGCACAATTATTGGGCAACTATTGTGTTTCCCCAAAAATAAGACCGGGTCTTATATTTATTTTTGCTCTAAAAGACCCATTAGGGCTTATTTTTGGGAAATGTCTTATTTTGGGGGGGATAGAGGTGTCCCACTTTGTGCCTTCCCTGCCCTGCATGGCTTCGGTGGGTGTCTGGCACGCTGCAGGGGAAGCAAGGCAGGGTGGGGGGAGGCGGATCTGCCCCCCGCAGCCCACATCCGCACACCTCAGGCCCCCCCACAGCCAGGCCACTCCCCACCCGGTGACTTCCCCCGCCCATTCGATGACCCGGCTGCCCATCCTCTTCCCTTTCACTCCCCTCCTGAGCCAGACTGCCATGCTATGGAGGATGGGCGGGGGAGGCTCGGTCCCCCTCCGCCATTTTGGAGCCAGGGGAGTGATGGCAAAAGGCCTGAGCCGTGTCTGCGGCTGGAGGGGCTTTCTTCGGTTCCTGCCACCCCACTTCACTCTGCCCCACTCCGCAGATCACCTGCCTACTGGCAGCTGCCTCCTCCTCCTCCACCTGCCACTTGGGTTCTCGGCCGCCGCCTCGCACTGCCTGCTCCCCGTTCGCTGCCTGTATTGTATAGTTTAAATGGCGGCAGCTCTGGAGGCTAGTGGTAGGCTCTCTGCATCGTCCCGGGGCTGGTCCACACAGTGATGGGAGAATTATACCAGGGGCTGGTAGCGGGGGTGCTCCAAAGACAGCACAGCCATGACTCCAGCCGCCAACTCTCCTGTGGCTGTGTGGGCAGAGCCACAAAAGGGGTCAGGTGGCTGAAACTGCCTGCCCAGGTGTGGGGGGAAATTTAAAAATATATATGCTTTTAGTATTATCATGTAATCATATTTTATATTTTATAATTATCATTGTATAATCAGTTGCCTGAGTAGATGTTTTGAGTATATAGGGAACATACAAGCCTCAGGTGGAGGAAGGGGGGAGAACAGGAGTTACCATGGGGCCCAGTGTGAGTCACCATCTAGGAATTGTTTTTAAGTACCTTCTGGTGCCTGGTACCCCTACTGGATCTAACAGGTGTAGAAGATGGGAGACATCTCTCTTCTAGACTTGATATCGGATAGTAGGGGAAGGATCTTATTAGTATAATGTAAGCAAACAGGGGCGGAGATTTATTTATTTTATTTATGAGACTTATATACCGCTTTAAGTGCAAGCACTCTCTAAGCGGTGTACACCAGTAAGCAATGTATATATATATATATTTACATTGCCCCCAACAATCTGGGTCCTCATTTTACCTACCCCGGAAGGATGGAAGGCTGAGTCAACCTTGAGCCGGTGAGATTTGAACCGCTGACCTGCTGAACACAGTCAGCTAAAGTGGCCTGCAGTACCTCCAAAGTCTAAGCCAATGGGGCCATGGGGGAGGGAATGGGGCGTCGCAATAGGATGTATAATACTATGTGATTTTGGAATTTGGGGTGTGGTTCAGTGCTTGGCTACATTGCATTGCCTTCCTGAATCCACCATGCTTTGCAAACCGTTATTTTTTTAGACTTTGTTGTGAAGTCTAATAAACTTCTTTTCTATTTGTAACTCAGAGTGGATTTCAATTTGTGACTATTTGTGTGTCTACCACGGGGACAATGTAGAGAGTGAGTGAAGCCGTGAGGCGAGGCAGGTGGGGAGAGGGCTGGCAGCACTGCTACTGCTCCCGATTTTCCAAAGGGGCCTCTCTGCAGGGGATCTCCCTCCCTCTCTCCCTCCTGTGGCGGCCCCCCTCCCCAAAGTCCTGCTTGCAAGCAGATGCCCCATTTCGGTTCCTGAGTAGCAGCAGCTCCCGGCGCACATGCCATTCCCCCCCCCCAGTGAATTTTCATGCCGGGTTTTGGGCCATGATTACAGCCCCCCCTCTTGCTGCCGTAAGAAGTAGTCCACACGGAGGTGGAGGAGCAGGAGGAGGAGGCGCACCAGAGCTCAGCAACCGTGGCAGCAGCAATGGAGCTGAGCTCCCTTGGCAAAGCGGACTCGCTGGGAACCTTTCTCAGAAGCTATTACATATAACCAGGGATAAAGATATACAAAACTCACGCAAGTCTCCACTATAATAGAAGAACTGTTGCAGTTCAGCTGGCAGAAATATGAGAACTGGAGAGAACCAGAGTCAAGTCTATCCACAGTCACAGAAACCCCTTTGATGACCTTGTTTTTGTAAGGATAAAATTAAGGCTTCCCTGTAAGTACCTTAAGCTCCTGGAGTCCCCCTCCCCCCACCTGCTCCCCAGGCAGGAGAGGAAAGAGAGGAAGGCAGCAGACAGGCAAAGTGGCTTACTGCTGATTTAACTGGTAAAAATGCCATTCTCCTTGGTACGGAACCTCGACTGCCAAGGTTCAAAGCGAGTGTGTGTATATGTATGTACATACATCTCTAAGGTCAGAGGGATGTGCCCAGCTCTCCTGAAACTTTCCCCTGCTTCAGTGAAGTGCCCGCTAGTTCTCGCCTGAAGGACCCACCCAGAGGGCCTGCCCTGCCACCCCTATGGAGGGAGATTTCCCCAGAGCTCAAGAGAGAGTTCACAGTTCACAAATGCTGTTTTCTGGGTGAAAACAGAGGAACTTGGGGGAGAACGGTAGAGAATGTGCAATATAGGCCTGACCCCCTTGAGGAGGGCAAAGCGGGCTCCAGAAGCCTTTGGCCTCCGTGGTGTCTTTGTCAGCAGAGAACCGTACGGTTTGCTGGCGTGGGAAGCAGATGTTCTTCCTTGAAATGTGCTGCCCTGTTTGACTGGGTGTCCTCCAGATGGGGAGTCCCGAGGCGCTCCCAATTCCCCAGCCAAATGGCACTTGTTGGGGAAGGGGACTAGGAGAGACGCCCCCCAACCCAGTTGGACCCTCTGCTAGGCCTGTTCTGCCACTACTCACACTGAGGAGGGGGCTTCTGTTGCTGTTCCCACCACCAGGTCTGCCTTGGCCTCCACCTTCTGTGGCAGGGGAGCCTTGCAGGGAGGATCTGGGGGTCTCATCGGAGGTCGCGTGATGACCGGCTTCTCTCCTGGCAGCCGAGCTTTGGGGAAGCTCTCATGTTCACCTGAGTTGAAAAATATGAATTGAAATGCAGGAAGGAAATGGAAGAAAATATGCAGTCACCCACAAAAGAGGTCCCTAAAAAAGAGGCAAACTCAGCATTCCTGCTACAAGAAGAAAAGTATCCCAGACCTCCCTAAGGAAAAAAAAAGGCAAATCTTGGTGAGAGGAGAGTCAATTCTTTGGGGAAGAGAAAAAATAGTCTGCAGGTCAGGCAGTCAAATCTAGGGAGGTATACTGTTTCTCTGGAGCAAAAATTTAAGATGTAACTGAGTACCTTACTAAAATAATCAGCCCCATGGATTACTACCCCATTCTTCTCCTACACATGGGGACCAATGACACAACAATGAATAATAACAAGAGATTACGAACAGCTAGGGAAGAAAGTTAAACAATTAGTAGCCCAAGTGGTGTTTTCATCCATACTTCCAACAAAAGGCCAACATCCAATGAGGGCTTAAAGGTTGGTGTCATCAACAGAACTTCAGCTTCCTAGACCATGGTCTATGTTACCTACATGAAGGGCTACTGTCAAGGGATGGAATGAATCTCACAAAAACTGGAAATAATATATTCAGAAAATGACTAGCTGAGCTGATCAGAATAATAATAATAATAACAACAACAACAACAACAACAATAGCTTTATTGTCACTTTGAAAGTACACCAATTGTAAGGTGACCAACCGTCCTCCTTTAGGGAGGACAGTCCTCCTTTTGTGAGTTCTGTCCTCCCTCGAAAAGTGTCCTCCTACATGTCCTCCTTTTCGATATTTGAAGACTAATCTGCAGGGCTTTTTTTTCCCTCACAGAACGCTCAGAATGGCATTCCAACACCTTGTTTTTATGGGTTTTTTTTCAACTTTTGCATGAGCTGTGCTACTCCCCCTATTGGCTTTCGAAAGCCAATAGGAATTGCTGCTGAGCATGCCAAAACACCTGGCTGGCAAACTTTGCACATGTAGGTTGTCTACAGCGAAGGTGAATTGGCAGGAACTTTGCACCCCTCCCTGCTACTCAAATACACCACCTCCTAGTTAGTCCCAAAGATACCTGGAGGAGACTGGAGCGGCGATGCCGTAGTAACTTTATCTTGATCTTCAGCCCTGCTAGGGCAATAATGGCTGTGGGCTCAAGAGGCAGGGGCGGCGGGGCTGCTGCGGATGGGGCTGTGAGGGGCGGCGGTGGCCGGCTGCTTCCCATGCTGTGGGAGCCGTGGGGCCTGCTCTACACGGGGCTGTGCAGGGTGGGCGGTGGTGCTGGCGGGGCGGCTGTAGGTGGGGTGTGTCGATGGCGGGCTACACTCCCGGGGCCGAAGCCAGCGCAGCTGGTGCTTTGGGAGCCACGGGGCCTGCTCTACATGGTGGGATAGCAGTGCTGGTGGGGTGGTTGTGGGCGGGGGCGTGGCATCTAAGCATAATTACAATATAAAATGTTATTGTTACAAATGTTTTTTATTATGCATTTATCATATTATAGTGTATTCTGTATTATTGTTGCAATGAATAAAACGTTTCTTTTATTTACGATTTTTATTCTTCAATTTATTTGTGTCCTCCTTTTCTTTGTAAAAAAGTTGGTCACCTTACCAATTGGCATACATCAAAATGAAATTTCGTTGCATACAGCTCTCAAAGGGTCACCACCTCCGATTATACATTCCTTGTTCGTGGCCGGCTCGTTACAGATCTTCCATTTTAGAGTCTCTAGGGAGCGAACGATGGCAAACAGGACAGATGGAAATGGAGCTCCATGTGGATTAGCCCTCAAATTAGCTTGTATTCCTGCACGACAACCTCGCCTCCTTTCCTTTTTCTGATCTTGTCTCTTCCACCTTTTCTTTAAAGAGGCCTCACTCCTTTTCACCCCTGGAGAACGCTGCCGCTGCCACCAACTCCTCCAAAATCCTCTCTCCCATCCTCTGGGCCTGCCGACAGCCTCATGCAGAAGGGCTTTAAACTAAAATTGAGGGAGGAGGGGGGTAATCTTCACAACCTTTAGAACCTAGCAAAAATGACTAGATAACCAATCACATGAGGAGATTGGGAGTAAAGAGAGAGAAGAAATTTTAAAAAAACCATAATGAAGTAGAGAGTGATGGGACGGATGGAAATCCCAGGTACAAAGTAGGAGATATAAGAAACATACCCAAGACCCATAAAGCAGGGGTCCCCAATCCCCGGTCCATGGACCAATACCGGGCTGCGGCATGCCAGCAACCGGGCTGCACAAACAAGCAAAGTCCCATTCACAAGATGCAGGCAGCACACAAAACCAGGCACCTTCTGGTCCGCGGAAAAACCTCTCTCCACGGAACCGGTCCCTGGTGCCCAAAAGGTTGAAGACCTCTGCCATAAAGGACCCAAATGCTTACACTAATGCTCAAAGTTTAGGGAACAAACAGAGTCAACTTGAAGTATTAGTACTTGAAGGTAGATATGATGTAGTTGCCATTACTGAAACTTGGTGGGATGAAACTCATGGAAGGATACAAACTATTCAAAAGAAACAGACCTAACGAAAGAGGAGGTGGAGTTGCACTGTATATAAAAGATCACTACAGCTCTAATACACAAAACCAAGGATGTCTATGGAGATTCTCAGTCATGCCGGACATGATTGTCCCAAAGAAGCTTTTTCAAGAGGCAACTGGACTTTCTTGTTTTTCTTTGAAGACGTTTCACTTCTTATCCAAAAATCTTCTTCAGCTCTGATTGGATGGTGGAGAATGGAAGGATTTATATTCCTTGCAGATAGCTGGTCATTGGCATTGCTTTAGAGAGTCATTGAGGCCACTTGGGGAGTTTTCTGTGTCCTCAGGTTCACCTCACTCGTGCAAATGTGTGGGGAGATGCAAGGGCAGAAAACTTCCTGCAGAAAGCACAATTCCACAATACAGTCTTTTCAACAGTTTCAAGAAGGCTCCACACCCATAAAATCCTTCCATTCCCCACCATCCAGTCAGAGCTGAAGAAGCTTCTTGGATGAGAAGCGAAACATATTCAAAGAAAAACAAGAAAATCCAGTTGTCTCTTGAAAAAGCACCTTTGGGACAACCATGATCTGAATGACTGAGAATCTCCATAGACATTTGGCTATGCACTTTGGGATGAACACCTTTCGAATGGTGAGGGAGTATGAACGGATTTCCAGAAAACATCGCAGACTACAGGAACCATTTGCGCTTCAGTTTGGGATGCAGGCAACACAGACTCATCCCCAACAGCCTGTGCCCGTCTTCAACAGGGAAGGGATACAGGGCAGAAAACATCCTTCAGTCAAGAAGGCTCCACACTCATTTGCACCACTCAGGGGACCCTGAGGACACAGACAAACCTACAAGAGGCCTCAATGACTCTCCAAAAGAATGCAAGTGACCAGCTGTCTGCAAGGAGTATAAATCCTTCCACTCCCCACCATCCAATCAGAGATGAAGAAGCTTCTTGGATGAGAAGCAAAACGTCTTCAAAGAAAAACAAGAAAGTCCAGTTCCTTCTTGAAAAAGCACCTTTGGGAAAATCAAGGATGAAAACTCCTAGAATTCATATGGGTCAATATAAAAGGAAAAAAGAATGACATTGCTATAGGCGTATACTACAGGTCACCCAAACAAGCAGAAGAAAGAGATGAATTCTTTGCTAATCAGTAACAAATGTATGTAGGAAACATACCACAGTAGTAATGGGAGATTTTAACTATCCTGATATCAACTGGGAGATAAACTCTGCAGCCAGTGGGAAATTGAGCAGATTCCTAGCCAACTTAGCTGACAACTTTGGTCATCCAAAAGGTAGAGGAGGGAATAAGAGGAAAAGATAAAGTGGACCTAATTCTTACTAATAGAGAGGAAGTGATAGAGAGAGTTGAAGTTGCCAGAACCTTGGGTGAAAGTGACGTCATACTGGAATTCAATATAATGCAAACACAAGCAATAGAATGTAATCCAACCAGTTTCTTAAACTTTCAAAGAGCTGATTTTAATAAACTCAAAGAGAGCCTATCAAAAATTTCCGCTTATTTGAAGGACCATTCACAAGAAAAATACATTTTGGTCTGGAGAAGATGGATTGATTATATTCAAAAGAAATATGAGACTGAAAAGTATTATCTTGCTTATGAGTAGATTTTAGGTTATTATTAATAGTTTAATATGATTGAATTTATATTATTTTTAGTGTTATGGTTTAATTATATTATTATTTTTGTTTTTAATTTGTTAATATTTGTTTTGAAAAGGAGTTAAAGTATGTTATGGTTTGATTGATAATACAGGCGGGTAATGTTAGTTAGATTATGATTGTTTATTTGTTACCCTGTAATCAGCTCTGGGAAGTGGGGGAGGGGGGGAAGGAGTGGGAGGGGTTTGGGTTATATTGTATTAAATTTGTAAAACTTTTAATAAAAAAAGAGAGCCTAAGAAAAATTCCATGGATAAAAATGCTAAAACGGAAAACAACTCAAAAAGAATATAAATAATAAAATAAAATATTTTAAAAAAATGGATGAATATAAATCACTGGGAGTTGATGGATTACATTCCAGAGTTCTGAAGGAACTAGCAGATACTATCTCTGAACTATTGTACCATATCTTTTTTAAAAAAATCCTGGAGCACCGGAGAACTGCAAAGGATTGGAAAGAGCTGAAGGGTGGTTCCCATCTTTAAAAAAAGTGGGGGAAAGGACCCAGGAAACTGCTCACCAATCAGCCTAACATCAACACCTGGGAAGATACTGGAAAAGATAAAAAAAAAAAACAGATTGTGAACATCTAGAAACAAATAAAGTTATAACTAGAAGCCAGCATGGGTTTGTTTAAAGACAGATCATGCCAAACCAATCTTATTTCATTCTTTGGCAGATTGACTAAATTAGTAGATCAGCAAAATGCTGTGGACATAGTCATTTGACAAAGTAGACCACAACCTATTTCTTGGTAAACTAGAAAAATGTGGGATAGGCAGCATCACCACCAGATGAATTTGTATCTGGCTGACAAACTGTACTCAATGAGTCGTCCTTAATGGTATTATGTCTACATGGAAGGAAATAAGCAGTGTCTTAGGCCCAGTACTCTTTGAATATCTTCATAAATGACTTAGATGAGGGAATAGAAGGGGAAATCATCAAATGTGCAGGTGACCCTAAGGTGGCAGGAATAGCCAACACCCCAGAAGACAAGCACAGGATCCAAAAAGATCTTGACAGACTTGAACAATGGGCCCTATCCAACAACATGAAATTTAATGTGGAGAAAAGCAAGGTTTTACACCTGGGCAGGAAAAACCAAAGGTACAGGTACAGATTAGGCAAAACCTGGTTCAAAAACAGTAAATGTGAGAGGGACCTTGGAGTCTTAGTGGATGATCACTTAAACATGAGTAAGCAAGGTGCAGGAGCAGCCAAAATGTATTAACATAGGCATAGAATGAAAATATCGTGAAGCATTAGTACCGGTTTATAAATCCTTGGTAAGGTCACACCTGGAATACTCCATCTAGTTTTGGTGACCACATTACAAAAAAGATGTTTTGGAAAAAGCGTAAAGAAGAACAACTAAGATGATTAAAGGCCTGGAGACAAAAACATATGAAGTTTGCAGTTGCAGGATTTGAGTATCGCCAGTCTAGAGAAAAGAAGAAACAGGGGCGACATGATAGCAGTTTTCCAATATTTCAGGAGCTGCCACAAAGAAGAGGGGGGTCAACTTATTTTCCAAAGCACCAGAAGGCAAGACAAGAAACAAAGGATGGAAACTAATCAAGGAGAGAAGCAACCTGGAACTAAGGAGAAATTTTCTAACAATGAGGACAATTAAGCAATGGAATAGCTTGCCTTCAGAAGTTGTGGGTGCTTTATCACTGGAGGTTTTAAAGAAAAGATTGGACAGCCACCTATCTGAAATGATATAGGGTCTCCTGCTTGAGCAGGGGGTTGGACTAGAAGACCTCCAAGGTCCCTTCTAGCTCTATTCTGATTCTAATGGGAAAAGCATAAGCAAAAGGGCTTAGGGCCATTTTCCAATCCTATATGTGACCCAAGGTAAGGGAGCTACCATGGAGCAGCTGATCAAAAATTCTATTTTGAAAAGGACCCTTTAAATATTATTTGAAATGTGCCAACTGACTGAAATGATGTCTCACTGCAGCTGCCTCAATTCCTTGCCATCAGAAAGCAGAACGAGCGATAATAACAGTTGTACAGTGGCCGACAACAGAAAGATTGGGAATGCTACCAGGTATGAAATAACTCCTGTTGTGTGGCAGAGCTACAAAAATTGAAAATACAGAAATGTAAACAAACAAAATCAGCATTGGAGCTATATTATATTCTCAATCGAAACTATGCAATTGACCAACAGTTGAAAATAGATTATCTGAATTTTTTTAAAGCTCAGCATTTCAGGATAATTGAACAATTGTACACAGGAAGATTTTTTAACTGTGGTAGAAATTCTATTCTAATGAAGTTGAGAGGGCCACCCATTTGCCAGAGATACTCTCTATAGCTTTTCTTGAAAGTTTATCTTAAGTTGATGCATGATGACCATGGCTTTGGGCAGCTGTGATGAAACATGAAGGGCCGTGCTGCAAATCCCGTAGTTTACCTCACCTGATGGATACGTATTGTGATTCCATTGTGGCTTCTATCAGATAAGTCACATTCTGGCTTAACATAGTTCTTAATGATGTTATACTGAGTTGGATGCTGTTTAATAGTCCCTACTTTGTTCTTCTTCACTGCTCCTGCTGCTTTTATGATATTTTTACATAATGTTTTTTATAGTTTGTGGTGATTTTGTCCTATTTTGTAATAATGATTTTGTATTTGTACAATGGAAGTTTTCTTGTTATGGCTTTACCCTCAATGGCAGTTTGCACAGAATATTTTAAAGAAATAATAAAAATAAAAAGTGACCAAAAAAACCCTCCTGGAGAATGAAAAAATGGGATCTATTTACAGCCTGAGTGTGTAACGTGACCAGTAGTTCCAGCAAGATTGTGAGAAATGGTGGGCAGGTTCAGAGGAAGCCCAAGGGCCTTGCGGCTGCACGCCTCCCTTCTTCCAGGGTCCTCAATCAAAGCTTGGGCTTCAGGAAAGTAAGTGGAGACCAGGAGCACATTCATCCCTATAGCACAGATCAGCCATCATTTCATTGAGATTCCATACTAGATCCCAAGCGCCTGTAACACACCAAATTCTTGTGGAATTCATAAACTTGTAAATTTTATGCCATCTTAAATATGTTTCTTTAATTAATGTGGCTGGAGTTTTTGTAGATATGATGTAAAGGGTAAGGAAGATGATCTTGACAGAGATAGATCAAATGCTTTACCAAAGCGATAAGGAGAAAAACATGGCTCAAGTCCACAATAGACACATCCTTTGGAAGTGCTCAGCCAGACACCTCCCTAATTTATATAGGGGATATAATTCATAATTCATACGGGGAGGAGATCTGCAAAAGATTCTGTAACCAGAGCCATTTCAATAAAAGTGGAATTGATTTCCTGGTTTGGTCTACTGGTGGGGCTGATGGCTGCCAAGCCAATTACAGTATTTGTTGAGCTTAGAAGACAGGCAAGAAAGAGACGGTAGCACAGAATTCTATGAAACACACATAACAAGGAACTAATAGTTATTTCGGTGTTTTCTGTGGACGTTGTGATGCAATGTGACAGGTGGGCAGATCGGCTAGGAAACTACATTTGGACATCTCAAGGAATGAAGAGCATGTGTTAAACAATTCAAGGGGTTGGTTATCACCTTTAAAACTCTTCGTGGCAAGAATCCAAGTTACTCCAGGAACCATCTCATTCCAATGGGATTGGTCCATCCCACCCATGCCGGCAGAGGAGACCTGCTCTGGGCCCCCTCAGCCAGGGAATTCCAGCTGGTGGGGTCCAGGAGAATGGCATTCTCTGCTATCATTCTTGCCCTTTGGAACCTCTTGCCCCCCCCCCCCCCGAATGAGGCCAGTGCCCACACTCCTGACCGTCCGCAAGGGTTTGAAGACCTGGTTCTGTCCAGTTGCCCTGGGCCTTCAGCGGATGAGCATCATGCTGGAGGTGGCTGATAGTTTAACTGCATAACCCACCTCTCCCCTATTCATCCTACTCCATCTTTTAGTTAAAGGTGACAATTTAACATCTGCAGAAAAAGCTCTCTTGAAAAAGTCCTCGCTGTCCATCTGGCATGCAGGAACAGACCATCTCCCACATTGCACCAAGGTGGAGATCACGTGCTCCTGAAAAGAGCAACAGGGTCCCATCCTCTTGGAGGTCTTCTAGTCCAACCCCCCCCCCGCTCAAGCAGGAAACCCGATACCATTTCAGACAAGTGGCTGTCCAATATCTTCTTAAAACTCCAGTGTTGAGGCAACCTGTTCCACTGGTTAATTGTTGTCATTGTCAGGAAATTCCTCCTCAGTTCTAGGTTGCTTCTCTCCTTAATTAGTTTCCATCCCTTGCTTCTTGTCCTGCCCTCAGGTGCTTTGGAGAATAGCTTGATTCCCTCATCTTTGTAGCAGCCCCTCAAATATCGGAGAACTGCTATCATGTCACCCCTGGTTCTTCTTTTCATTGATAAAGATGGTAGCCCTGTTTGGTTTCATGGACAGAAACTACTGGCTTGGTCTTCTTATGGCTTCATGTATTTCAACTGCCTTTGCTGCTCAACCCTAAAAATAAGGGATTCTCTTTTTTGAACAAGGACATGTATACAGTAGCTACAATGCTTATTTGGGGGGGGTTTCAGACTTGAAGTGAGGAATTATGTTATAGTTCATCATTTTCTTTATATTTCTATCTTCAGTAAAAGTATAATACCACAATGTGATTTCCTAACTCTGTGCTATATGCTAGAATTGAAACTAAACAAAATAAATGAATGATTGAAAAAGTGAATGAATAAATATTTAATTAATCTCCCAGCTGTGATTCTGATTCAGAGGATGAAAAACCCACCGAACACACGGTTCACCCCAAATGTAGTTTGAACTATATTGCAAAACAAAGAGCACTGGGGTCTTTTAAAGGCTGGGAGCTGGGATGCAGGGTGTCTTGGAAAAGAACAAACTAGCAGGCTCACCTTCTTTGCAGCCAGCCACAGGCCTTGGAGCAGGCTTCTTCGGGTGTAGGCTGGAGGCCTTCAGAGAATTGGGAGTTGGCACGATGCTGTTGGCAGATTTACTGGAGAGTTTTGCTCCTCCTTCTTGGAGCCTGGACACCAGCCTTCCTACATCCACCTCTGCACAGGGTTCCCCAGTTCCACGGTTCTCTGGGCTGGGCCTTCCTGAATCAAGTTCTCCCGGCCTCTGCAGTCGGCTACGCTGGAGGGGCTTAGGAGCATCAGGGCTGATGGTGGCAATCACGCCATTCGGGGTCAGGCCACAGCTGTCCTCTCCTAGAGGAAAGCCAAAAACAAGAGACGGTCAGTTGTTAGGGCATCCAGGCAAGTCACACATGGAGGCAGGCCTCTGCAAAGACAGCAGTGGAAGCCATGCACTCCTCACTGACATCATGAAATCCAGCTGATAGCAAATTTCTTGATTTTTCATTTAATATCTCTACAACTGTATCTTATTAATCTGTCCCTCACACACACACACACACACACCTTGATTGCATCTGATATTTTCTACTGAACCTGGATAGTGACTCTCAGCTATTTGGCTGGCGATCTGAAAGGGAAAACCCAACTCATAAAATTGTGGGCACCAGGAACCTTCTCTGAGCCTACAGATTGTATACAAATGGTCCATTTCCAGGAGGAGATGGCCAAGTGAGCAAGGGCAATGAAGGTTTTGGGGGGTGGGGGGCTGAAAGAATGTCTGCCTTTCAATTCCCTATACGAAATCCACCCAAAATGTCTACGTAAATATGGCCATGGAAATAGATTTCTCTATTATAGTATTAAAAAGGACTCCTTAATTTTCCTCTCCATATATATATATATCTCATAATTAGTATATATAAAGGAACAGCATGAATGACTATGATATTTTATTTATTTATTTATGAGACTTATATACCGCTTTAAGTGCAAGCACTCTCTAAGCGGTGTACACCAGTAAGGAATGTATGTGTGTATGTATGTATGTGTGTATATATATATATATATATATATATATATATATATATATATATATATATTATATATATTATATATATATATATATATATATGTTTTCTGAGGTTTTCGCGGGTGTTTGTATGTAGGTCTTTGGTTGTTCGGGTTTTCTCCCGCGTAAAATTGGAAGTGTCTTGGCGACGTTTCGACGAAGTCCCATTCGTCATCTTCAGGCTGGTGTTTTCAGCTTCGTGCTTCGAGCAGCAATGTGTGGTCTTAGCTGTTTCTTCCTTTTAACTGCCAGTGGGGGTATGAACTGATTGGGTGGGAGCTTGGCTGTGTTCTGATTGGGTGGAGGTGTGTTCTGATTGGTTAGGGGCGTGGCTGTGCTCTGATTGGCTGGGGGGTTGGCTGTGCTCTGATTGGCTGGGGGGTCGGCTGTGCTCTGCTTGGCTGGGGGAGTGTTCTGTTTGGTTGTGCTTAGGTTAGTCTGAGTTGCAGAGGGGTTTAAGATTTTGGGCTGCCTTGCTATTTTTTGGCTTCGCGTTTGTGGTTGTGCCTCATTTTCATGGAGGGTGTCAGTTTGCTTCATGTATGGATTGGAGGGCTTTAAAGTGGCTAATGATGCAGCTCTGGTCTGGCTTCTGGTTTGTGGTCGTGCCTCATCATCGGTGTGGCTTTGGGTTTGCTTTTTGCGTGGATGTGTGGTGGTGACATCCTGTGTGGTTTTTGTGAGTGTGGGTCTGGTATCATTTTTTGTATTAGGGAGTCGTTTGTCAATAAGGGCGGGTTTCCAAATGGCTGGTAGGCGGGAGGTATCATCTCGCTTGTTCATGCTGTGTGGGCGTTTTTCTATCTCGATAGTCAGCTCCATAGGCTCACCTCTACAAAACCTAGCCAAATTTCTCGCCAAACAACTACAGCCCTATGCAGAATCCATCACCTCACACGTAAAAAACTCATTCCAGTTTATAGAGATCATAAAGAAACAAAACTTACAGCCCAGCGACCTACTCGTGAGCTTTGATGTCATATCCCTCTTCACCCAAGTGCCTATCAAAGAAGCCTTGACAGCTATCCAAAACAAATATAACCCCCCCAAACACATCTTAGATCTGACCAACCACTGCCTATCCAACACATACTTCATCTATAATGGACAAAAATACAAACAAACAGAAGGAGCACCCATGGGATCACCCCTCTCACCTGTCATTGCAAACCTCTACATGGAACACTTTGAAACCCAAGCTCTAGAAAAATCGGATCACAAACCCAAACTCTGGCTCAGATACGTAGACGACACCTTCATAATCTGGCCACATGGGAAAGAAAAACTGGACAACTTCCTCACACACCTCAACAGCCTACACCCCAAAATACAGTTCACCATGGAAACAGAAGCTAACAACCAACTTCCCTTCCTGGATGTCTTAGTCTACAAGAAATCCAATGGCTCCCTAGGACACACCATCTACCAGAAGAAAACACACACAAACCGCTATCTGCACGCTCTCTCACACCACCACCCAGCACAGATCAACTCTGTAGCCAAGACACTCATCTCCAGAACAAAACGCTTAGCTGACGAACAACACCTAAAAACCGAACTACACACTCTCACCAATGTACTAACATCCAATGGATTCCAAGAAATAAGATTACAAACCTAATCCAAAAAGAAACCCCCACTAAAATCCAAGACAAAGAACAAGAAAACGGCAAAGCCCTCCTCCCATACATAAAAGGCACCACAGACAGAATCAGTAAGATCCTCCATAAACACAACATCAAAACAGCATTCTGCACAAACAGAAAAATATCCACCATCCTTAGAAACCCCAAAGATAAAATTGAATTAGAAAATCAAGGAGTATACGAAATCCCATGCACCACTTGTCCCACCACATACATCGGACAAACCAACAGAAGAATAAGTGCACGCATTGAAGAACATAAGAACTCAGTCAAAAAAGAGGAACCAACATCTTCCCTGGTCCAACACCTTAAAGCCACAGGACATGAAATTGACTTTAAAAATACCAGAACCATTGCCAAAAGTGAACATTTTAATAACAGAATAATCAGAGAAGCCATCGAGATAGAAAAACGCCCACACAGCATGAACAAGCGAGATGATACCTCCCGCCTACCAGCCATTTGGAAACCCGCCCTTATTGACAAACGACTCCCTAATACAAAAAATGATACCAGACCCACACTCACAAAAACCACACAGGATGTCACCACCACACATCCACGCAAAAAGCAAACCCAAAGCCACACCGATGATGAGGCACGACCACAAACCAGAAGCCAGACCAGAGCTGCATCATTAGCCACTTTAAACCCCTCCAATCCATACATGAAGCAAACTGACACCCTCCATGAAAATGAGGCACGACCACAAACGCGAAGCCAAAAAATAGCAAGGCAGCCCAAAATCTTAAACCCCTCTGCAACTCAGACTAACCTGAGCACAACCAAACAGAACACTCCCCCAGCCAATCAGAGCACAGCCAACCCCCCAGCCAATCAGAGCACAGCCAACCCCCCAGCCAATCAGAGCACAGCCAAGCCCCTAACCAATCAGAACACACCTCCACCCAATCAGAACACAGCCAAGCTCCCACCCAATCAGTTCATACCCCCACTGGCAGTTAAAAGGAAGAAACAGCTAAGACCACACATTGCTGCTCGAAGCACGAAGCTGAAAACACCAGCCTGAAGATGACGAATGGGACTTCGTCGAAACGTCGCCAAGACACTTCCAATTTTACGCGGGAGAAAACCCGAACAACCAAAGACCTACATACATATATATATATATATATATATATATATATATATATATATATATATATATATATATATATATATTTATATTTATATTTACATTGCCCCCAACAATCTGATTCCTCATTTTACCTACCCCGGAAGGATGGAAGGCTGAGTCAACCTTGAGCCGGTGAGATTTGAACCGCTGACCTGCTGAACACAGTCAGCTAAAGTGGCCTGCAGTACTGCACTCTAACTGCTGCGCCACCTCGGCTCATATAAACAGGAAATATATTTATAGGGCTTGGGGGCTTCAGGACCTTGATTGTGCTTTCATTTAGCTCTTGGGTAATGGCAATATGTCCTTTGCATCATTAGTAAGATTTGCAGGACACAGTTTTCAGAAGCTGCTGCCAGGAAGGAAGAAGATACGAGTAAGTTCAAATTCATTTTTGCCCAATTCAGTAGCCATCACACCTCCAAAAGGCTGCATCTCCTTGACCTCAGGTTCTTCCGGGTCAGGTTGCCACCAGCCAGCAAGATCAGGAAAGGGCATTGACTTCAGTTACCCTCAGAGCCCCTCCCAGAGGGCAGGTATTACAATGCCCAACTTTTGCGCACGTGATGTCTAAGATGCTTGCATGTTCTGGCTCTCTTCGCTCTTCTGTTAGCAAAACTGCAGCACAAACCCCAATGCTGGCTGTAAGCATGATTATTCCAAGCAGCTCCCCAAACACTCTGAGACCAATGTTCTAATGGGCCTTTGAAATACTTGAATGTTGAAGAACAGAGAGTACAAATTTGGTCAGGAAAAGAGGCTCAGATTGGAAATCTCAAGTTCCTTTTACAAAGTGACAATTCAAGTGGTCATTGGCTGCTGCTGTACCCTTGTGCTAGAGAATCCCAGAAGAACAGGACAATCCTCACACTGAGTGCTGGAAATTAACAATGCATTGAATCTTTGATCCTAGATGCCAGAATCTCTTTGCTCCAAGTGCAAACAAAAACAAAACAAGAGTCCAGACATTCAATTTCCTATCTCATCATTGCCACAAACCCAAAGTCTGGGTAAGCCAGCAGGATCAATCTCCTTTGGTCTTATGGTGAAATTATGGCAGCAACATTTTGGACCCGTTGCATGAGCAACAGAGGTCATAACTGCTTCCAAGTTCCAAAAACTTTGTCAGGTAGACTGGAGTAACAATTTCCCTTTAAAAACTGTTGTATGTTAACACTCAATCATCCAGGTTTAATTTCTCTTCTATTAGTCTAAAAATGCATACCTCATTTGGCACATCAACACTCATAATGCACTCAGCCCTTCACCCAACACCACTAGAACTTGATCCTAATGAAGGTCCAGCCTCTGCTGATGAAAGGATTTGTGGTAAGAGGACCTTGGGAACAGTTCTACAAGAACCAACCTTCACTTTCTTCCACAGAACCTCCAAAGAAGAGGGGTCTCTCTCTCAGAGGGCGCTTGGAAATGGTGATGGGTTTATGTCTTCGAGTGGCTACCCGAGGAGGGGGGATAGGGGGTGCAGCATTGTCTTCAGGAGGCCCAGAATAGATCTAAAAGAGAAAAATTATTAAGAAGCAGATGACTTTAACCCTTTTCCTGCTCTCTTGTGCAGCAGAGATTACAAGCTACTACATACAGGTGTGTGTGTGTGTGTGTGTGTGTGTGTGTGTGTGTGTGTGTGTGTAGAGAGAGAGAGGGGGAGAGAGGGGAGGGAGGGAGGGAGGGAGAGAGAGAGAGAGAGAGAGAGAGGCTACATCCAGTGATGTGATAACTGTTCCACTGACTGAACAGGATGATCTTGATGGGAGAATATGTCTAGAACAGCGGTTCTCAACCTGTGGGTCGGGATCCCATTTGGGGTCGAACGACCATTTCACGGGGGTCGCCAAACAAGGCTGTCCGCCATTTTTCCCCCTTTTCTTTGGCCACGCCCCTGGCACCCGGTGATGTATAAGTGGTTGGGGGTCACCACAACATGGGGAACTGTATTATGGGGTCGCGGCATTAGAAAGGTTGAGAACCACTGCTCTAGAAGGACTACAAAGTTCCGAAAGTGTCTGATGGATGGTGCTCCTGGAGGGCCAACCCTCAAGACGGCCATTAACAAGGAAATAGAGCTGCAGCTCATTGTTGATCTCAGCAACTACCCCTCCCAAATATCTATGGAGATTCTCAATCATCCAGATTATGGTTATCCCAAAGATGCTTTTTCAGGAGGCAACTGGGCTTCGTTTTTCTTTGAAGACGTTTCGCTTCTCATCCCAGAAGCTTCTTCAGCTCTGACTGGGTGGTGGGGAATGGAAGGATTTATACTCCTTGCAGACAGCTGGTCACTTGCATTCTTTTAGAGAGTCATTGAGGCCACGGAGGTTTACTTCAGAATCTCCGAAGACATTTGGCTATGCACTTTGGGATGAACATCCTTTGAATGGTGAGGGAGTATGAACGGATTTCCAGAAAACATTGCAGACTCCAGGAACCATTTGCGCTTCAGACTGAGATGCAGGCAACACAGACTCATCCCCAACAGTCTGCGCCCGTCTTCAATAGGGAAGGGATACAGGGCAGAAAACATCCTGCAATCAAGAAGGCTCCACACCCATTTGCACTACTCAGGGGACCCTGAGGACACAGACAAACCTACAAGAGGCCTCAACGACTCTCTAAAAGAATGCAAATGACCAGCTGTCTGCAAGGAGTATAAATCCTTCCACTCCCCACCATCAATCAAGAACGGAAGAAGATGAGAAGTGAAACATCTTCAAAGAAAAACAGTTGCCTCCTGAAAAAGCACCTTTGGGGCACCCCTCACAAATGCCTTTAATCCCCCTTTAAATCATCTTAATCAGCAGCATTTCTTGCAATTGGAGTTCTTTAATTTTTTTATTGTGAGAAGGAATACTAGAGTCCTAATATCACAAGAGGCATGAAACTTCTACCACTTTCCCCACCTGAGGCTTGATTTCATAAATATCCACAGTGATATCGCTGTCCAACTTCTTACTTTGTAGGGGCAAACTCCACTAGTCTTCGCCAACACCTTCCAACTGGAAGCCACAAATTCAAACCATACTAGTTAATGTTGGGCAAATGACTTTGCACAGAAATTCTCTTTTGATTCTTGGGATGAATTCCACAATCCATTATGAGCTTGGGAATCAAGTTATGTTACAACTCCGACTGTGAAAGAACTGAATTCAGAACTGAGAGTTAGCAATTTGGGAAGCTGTCTTAAACCTTCTGAGCTGTCTCTTTGGATGGAACACAAGTCTTCCCCTTTGACTGCCAGCCAGTCCATCTCCTGGAGCTCAGTTTGGAGCCTTCTTCAAGGAAAGTAAACAATTTTCTGTCTCAGGGGCTGCCCACCAGGTTTGTTAAAGCCAAGTCTTCCCAATGTAGTGCTATCAAGAATGTTGATCTTCAGCTCCTGTGCTCCCCACGCATCATAATTAACAAAGCATCTGAGGATTATGGAGCTCCAATACATTTGGAAGGCGCTGTCCCTGAGCTGAGTTTCCTGCAGATTGCAGAAGATTAGAAGATCCTTCCAATTCTATGATTGTGATTCGGTGGTTGCAGGAAAAAAAGGCAGGAAAAAAGGTTGCAGTCAGGTGTGTCCGAGAGCTCCTGCCTCCCTCTGTCCCCAGCCGCCAGAAGGGAGAGCAAAATTGCTGCAAGAGCTGCAGAGCCATCTAAGGATGAGAACAATTTCACCTGCTGAACTTCTGCCACATTACACTGCAACCCAGTCGGGAAAAAGAGATGCAGCCAGCACTTTGCAACTCCAAGCCAGGTAGAATCAAATTCCTTTTTGCTCTTCTTTTTAGGAGAGGCGTTGGGGTCTTTGTCAGCTGGCCTCTCACATGTTTCCTTGAAATCACAGCCTTTGTAATAACAAAAAAGACTGCAAATTGTTGTTAAATTATCCAAAAAAGTACATTTATTATTCTTGAAGTGATAAGCTAAAACGGCTGTCAACAAAATCTTTTAATTATACATTACTAGCACTCTGCAGATCTATCACGTCTGATGAAGTTATGCTGAACATTAAAAAACACTCGAGAAACACTTTTATTTGCAGAAAGCAGCATTTGTAATTGGTATATTTTTGTTTACTTTTTTCCAGTATTTAAATTGTTTTATACATTTGATGTTCAGGCAGAACATCAAATCTCAGTTTGCTCCTTCCTCCCTCCCTCTCCTCATCTTCTGCTTCTGAGTCAGTATTGATTTCTGACAACTGTCTGGACAAGTCCATGCAATTTTCCCAGCAGTTTTTGTACAGACCTCCCCCACTCCCTCCGTGGGCTGAAAGAGAGGGACTGGTCCAGAGTCATTCATTAGATTTTGGGCTTAAGCAAGACTTGATTACCTGGTCGCCTGCTTCCAGTCTGGTGTCTTTAATCACAACGTTGAGGGGAGTCTTTAGTGTGGCATTTTTCTTTTTAGTTTGGTTCCTCTAAGTAAGTGCAACAAGTCCCTGCAGTTTTCTTGACAAGATTCCAGAAGTGGTTTGCCATTGCCTTCTCCTCGCTAGGGCTGAGAGAGTAGTTGGTCCAAGGTCTCCCAGCTGGCTTTGGGCCTAAGGCAGGATTAGAGCTCACCAGCTCCTGGTTTCTGATGCTCTGATGGTCCCCCCCCCCCATGGCTCCCCTAGTTTGGCATTATACGCATTAAAAGTTTTGGTTGATTTCCATACTTTCTTTTGGTTCTGCAGAAGAGGAAGAAGATTCTGGGATGTGGCAGTCCATGTTTGCCATTTCCCTCAAAATGTGACCTCACAAACTAGGATAGAAAGGTATTGTTGGATGGTTTGTTGATACATTTAAAAATAGCCATACTCTGGAAAATGCATTAAAATGACATTAAAATTTTGTTCCAAGTTAGTAAGACTTTTGCAATACCAGATTACTTAGTTTTGTCAGCCAACTTTCAATTTGTCTTAAAACAAATAAAATGGTACCTAGGAATTTTTTTTCCCCCAATTTGGGTATCTGACCTTTCAGTAAAAGAGACAAAACTTCCACCACATTCTGCTCTAATTTAAATTGGAGAAGTGAAAAATATATTGTGTAAACGTGATGTGATGATTTTTAAAATCTTCTTTCACAGAAAGAAATATGACGACTTCTGCTTTCATTTCTCCAAACTAAGATTTTTTTCCAAAACAGTTAGCAAGAATTTGTGATCCAGCCACATTAGTTAAATACATATGTTTGTGACTTTCAGCAGAACTACCCCTGATTGGTACAGAACACTTATTCTATACAATAACAATGTGGAATAAACAGCATCACCATCAGAAGGATTTGTAACTGATTGACCAACCACACCCAGTGTGTAGTCTTCAAGGGAACAACATCTACGGGTAGGAAGCGCGCAAGTTTCTGTCTTAGGCCCAAGTATTCCTTAACATCTTCATAAGTGATTTAGATGAGAGGGTAGAAGGGGAACTCATTAAATTTGCAGGTGACATCAAGCTGGGGGAAATAGCCAACATTTAGAAGATAGGCTCAAGATCCAGAAGGATCTTGACAGATTGAGTATTGGACCCTATCCAGCAAGATACAGTTCAGTAATGAGAAAGGTAAGGTTACAAACTTAGTCAAAAACCACCAAATCCACAGGTACAGAATAGGCCTCACCTGGCTCAACAGTATTAACTGTGAGAGGGATCTTGGAATCCTAGTGGACAACCACTTAAGTATGAGCCAGCAGTGTGCAGCAGTTGCCAAAAAAGCTAGTGCTGTCCTCTGCTGCATCACTATACAAATAACATCAAGATCACAAGAAGTTATAGTACCACTTTATACCCCACTAGTGAGGCCACACTTGGAATACTGCGCTCATTCTGGTCACTACAATACAAAAAAAAATACACTAAGGAAAAGTTAAAGGAATTTAGTATGTCTAGCCTAACAAAAATAAGAATTAGGGAGTGAAATGATAGCTGTCCTCCAGTACATGAGGGTTGCCATAAAGAGATGGTGGTTGACTCAATTCTCCAAAGCACCTGAGGTTAGGACAAGAAGCAGTGTGTGGAAGCTATCAGAGGAAAAGCCAACCTAGAAGACCTCCATCTCTGTTATTCTGATAGTGAGAACAATTAACCAATGCCTCCTAGAGTTGTAGGTGCTCCATTGCTGGTGGTTTTCAAGAAAAGACTGGACAACCATTTGCTGAAGATGTATGTAAGGTTTCCTGCCATGGGCAGGGAGTTGGACTAGAAGACCTCAAGGTCCCTTCCAATGCTAAGATTCTATGATTTTATTACTTTTATCCAGTGCTTTTTTTCTAAAAAAAAAAAAAAAAGGTGCCAGAACTCATACACATCATACAACCCACCTTGCCTACCCTACAAGCTTCCATACAAAAAAGGTGCCGGAATTCCGTTCTGGGTGTTCCATGAGAAAAAAAGTCCTGTTTTTACCATCCCCAATGGAAACAATAAACCCAGATTTCTGGAGGAATGAATCTGCTACGTGTTTCAGTGACTTAACAAATGTGGAGTTCTGTCAAGGACTTCCTGCATCTTTCATTCCTTCTTTTC